TGTAAAAAAGTCGTAAAGTACGAGTCATATTCATGAATAGTAAAGGTCGTTCATGAATAGTAAAAGTCATGGAAAAAAGTCGTAAAGAAAATATTATAAGTCATATTCATGAACAGTAAAGGTCGTTCATGAAGAGTCATTTGTAAACAGTAGGAGTCGTTTCAATTTTCTATATATAGTTTGTAAATCCGAAGAGGAGAGGACACACCCTAGGTAGGTTGTGGCAAGCGGATTAGCCTTGAAAGTTCTTTTATATTTTCTCCTATATACTCTAAGTATTGGATATCTTGGGTCTTTTGATATTCTTCTATATTGTCTTTTAATAATAAAGATAATAAATTTATATTTTCTAAAGTTTGTAACCAGTGCTTGATATAAGTCTAGTTCATATAAATCTAAGATATCTATTCTTTCTGATAGAATTAGTCATGTGTATCCTTGTTCCATTATGTTAATTATTTCAAACGAAATTAAAATATCGTAAATTTTTCTTCTAATGTCGTTATTAAGTTGGTTCAAGGTATATAATATGAGTATTTTGTAATCATTATTGTTATCTAGTAAATAAGTGGGGATGTTCATAGGATATTATTATTTTTCAGTATTATTCTTATCATGTTTTTACTAAACATATTCCCTCTAACCTCTTTGTTTATCATAGCGTTCATCATGTTTTAATAGGTTATACTGAACAATCTTTTCTGGTCACTACCATGTTTTTCTTGCTTCAATCATTTTCCCTAACAGCGCCTCAACTTTGTCTACTCCCCTAAACGGCTTCCATGCCTACCGGTTTCGACCTTAGGATGGCATAGTTTGGGCTTAACTACTCTCAGCNTTGGGCTTAACTACTCTTAGTATTATTAGACATGGCAAACTTTCTCAAGATGTTCTTTATAACAGTACTATAACATGATAAACAGTTATGATATTCAAGAGATTATAAGGAATATAAAGGTTTAGTTAGACATGATTATGAGTAAACTTACTTGTTCTTGTAACTCGTTTGAATGATCCATAGTTGTTAAGACTTTGTATACAACTTCAGATATTTCTTAAGAGAGAGAGAGAAGATAAGAGAGAGAAGGTGAGGGTGTGTCCTCTCCTCTTCGGATTTACAAACTATATATAGAAAATTGAAACGACTCCTACTATTTACAAATAACTCTTCATGAACGACCTTTACTGTTCATGAATATGACTTATACTATTTACTTTACGACTTTTTAACATGACTCTTACTATTCATGAACGACCTTTACTATTCATGAATATGACTCGTACTTTACGACTTTTTTACATGACTCTTACTATTCACACTATTTTCTTTACGACTTTTTTACATTATATGTTTTCAATAGCTGTCTTCCTTATTTGTCTTCTTGCTGATATCTTCATTCCAGTGCATCTTCATTCCAGTTGCACTTCTGGTACATGGTTATCTTCTCCGTTGCATTTAGAAAATATATGATCTGGATATTTGTGCCCTACTAATTTGTAGTATCTTGTCAATAATTCATTGGAAATAAATCCTTTCTTTAGTGCTCTTGTAGTTGGTTGTATCTCTGGTTTTAGTAACGATAAAATCCATTTTTGGACTTCATCCATATCTCCTTGTCGTAGTTCTCTTGAATTGGCATATATCATTAGCTGGTCTCTTGAGTAGTAGCTCCAGATAGCATTTTCTTGTAAATAATTGTTGGCTAGCTCTTGTATAATGGTTGCTATGCCAATTATTCTTTTGTTGGCATAAAATCCTGGTATCTCAATTTTCGGTATTTCTGGTTGTTGTTCAATTTCTTCTGGTATTATCATATCTCGTGTTAAGCCTATTTTTACAACTTGTATAATAGGTTTTATTTCATCATATAGTATCTCAGCTGGTGCTGTATAGAATTTTATAAAAAATAAGTTTCCTTTTGTAATTCTTTTGAATGTAATAAATGTTTTGTATAGCTCTGGTATTCCACTTATCTCTTCCCCATCATAGGTACATACCGTACTAAGTAATCCATAGTTGTAACATGTTTTTACTAAATTGGCTCTAGTTTTTGGCTGTGCAATAAGCCTATTATATCCTTGGAGTTTCTGGGTTATATAATCCTGTGTTGGATCTGTGGTAGTAGTTGCTCTGGCGTTTTGGTTTAGGAATGTTTGAATTTTGTATATATTCTCAATATAGGTCTGAGTAATATGGTTGTATA